ACCGTGTGGGCGCAAGTCGCCAGTTGTGTGCTGCTTTTCACGCGCATGAAAAGTGTGAATAAGTCGAGTCTGATTGCATATATGGTAAACCAGCCAGGCGCCTGGACCTGACAATACCACACGTGTTTGTAAGTTACAAACGGGAGTCGGGTGAGTTTGGCGACGAGTCGCTGCGGCGCCCTAAACCAGGCGACTCTGGCGATGTATCAACCGTATTTTCGAGTTAGGAATAAGTAAAACGATGAGGGCCCCTAAAAGAGGCCACTTGATAAGACCACTCAGATTGTCAAATAATGGAGCACAAATTTGTAACATATGTGTTTGCTTTTTTTGGGTGGTTTCAACAAGCAGCACCCTATGATGTTTATGACAAAGTAGAATTTGATGTACCCGTAGGTACATGAGGAGATTGTTATGATCGGTATTGTGTCCACATTAAAGAAATGTGACAAAGTCTTTGAATCATTGTCCAATGCTTGAATCAAATGCCTAGTGGCATGATCAAAGCGGATGATCGTAAACTTTGTCCTCCTTCACGCTCTCAAATGAAACAATCCATGGAATCCTTAATTCATCACTTTAAGCTTTACATCAAAGCGGATGATCGTAAACTTTGTCCTCCTTCACGCTCTCAAATGAAACAATCCATGGAATCCTGCCATGGAAACTTTGCCCTCCTTTGTTCACTTTAAGCTTTACACGGAGGGTGTGGGTTTTATATTCAATTAATTTTTCCATACCATGTTGGTCCGTATTGTACCTACGGAAAGCAGATCTCTCTAGTTTGGTCCGTACAGTACCTACTTGGAGTAGATCACAATTTTCGTACGTACAGTACCTACCGGGAGTAGATCTCTGTTTCAGTGGATACTGCACCTCTAGGAAATCGAACACAGCAAAAGGGTTGTACTGCAACAGTGCGATAATCCTTTCAACACATTGCTTTTTCTGATGATGTGCCTTTAAAAAAAACATAGCTGCCTAAACCATCACCACCTCCGAGCCTGCTTTTACCGACCCTGTTGTCCATTGTGCGCAAAGTTTTGTCACGCCTGTGTTCCTTTCTTTTTTTGGGGGGGCACTCTCGTGAAAAACAACTAAAAAGAAAGGTGCGTTGAACCAAAAAGGAAAAATCAAGGCTCTACAGCGACGCAAAGAAAGGTGCGTTGAACCAAGTTGCAAAATTACACAGAAGTCCAGATAGTCGTGTACCAAATAGAGAGCTCAAATACACCAAGATTCCATCCAAATAAGACCGATACAATGAACTCGTGAGCCAATGTCCAAGCCCTCAGGGCATACCAACGCAGTATTCAATGTCGCTCCTACTGTATGGCGCCCAACGCCGAGCCTACTCTACTCAGCCTATCTAGCCTATCTACATTCGTGCAACAGGTTGACTTCGACGACGAAGACCAATGTACATGACATCAAGAACAATGCCAACCCCCCACATACACCAGGTACGTTCTCTCGTCTCCCCTCATCATACCCTGTCCACCCACTCCTGCGCCTCCTTCCTGAAGACCAGCGTCGCCCATCACCTGCCCGCGCCCGTGCAGCCCGGCTATGGCCGTTAAGCTCCCCGTTGCCCTGCAGTGCCCCACTTCCCCTCATAGCGCAGGTATATGCCCTGGCCAGCAGTGCTGATGCAGACACTTGTGCAGCATCGCAGCAGCGTGTCAGCATTGCCTGCCTAGGCCAGAATGACTTCCTCTGGCCGACCTCCTCCCTATATGGGAGTAGCTGCCCTGCTGGGCTACCTGGGACTGGCCGAGGAAGCTTCCATTAGCTTCTAGTTGGGCCCAAGTGTTTGCGCCCAGGCCCATTCCTACAGTTAAGGGCCTCGACCCTCTTCATTTGGGCACTTCCTAGATGCTTCCAGGCTCCAACTGTTTGTCGTCTTTGCATAGGCCCGCGGGTAGGTGTGACGACAACACTGCATTCTCATTGGCCCACGGCCACTATGTTGTGTCAGCCTCACACTCCGTGTGGCTAGGGTGCAACCACCTGCATCCTGGGCTCAACTGCTTGACGCAGCTGCTGCTTCTGGAAAGAGCCCAGGGAGAGGCCCAGGTTGCACTTTAACCAACTGGCGTGCAGCAACTGTCTGATACCCACATTGGAAAATGCTGAGATAACGGCCTCTCGTGGATATTCTGGCCCGCCTTCACTTAGGGCGGGCACGAGGCTTGTTGGGGGCCACAGTCCAAAACATG